ATATATATGTATGTATGTATATTTCTGGTGGTCTTTTGGATGCAAAGGCATGACTATTGCGGAGACTTTATGGATAGATGCATTCTATGTTACGATACGCAGCATACAGAGTCTCCATCAGGGTTATTTACATTCTCCTCTCTAACTTCTATTGCAGACATATGCTATATTTTATTATATTTCTCGGTAGATACTCATGCACTTTTGACACCGATTTTTGGGGGTTGCTACTGGATGTTCATTATTGTAGTTCACGTAATTATTATTATTTTATATTATAATTTATTCTTTATACAAAAATTTATAAAGAGAATTCACGGGCTCCTACGAGTACCCGATGTTTATTTTATTTATTTAATGGGATTTATGATTTCAAAATTTTTAAAATGAGTAGTTAAGTCAATAATTCACCGTTAGCTTGCCTGATGACGACGTTGGGTGCCATCATGGCCTTTAGAGGATTTTGGGTCATGACAACTTGATCTATCTGGTGGGGACCATTTCCCATATCCACTCCGGTTGAGGAGGTGATCGATAATTGAGGGCTTGCATTTACTGTTCAGAGGAGGATCGTACCACGTGCTAAAACTTTGTTTACACTATTTTTACCATGCCTCATACTTGTTTACTTTATATTGTACTTGATTTATTAGACCACTAGTAAGTGTCAATATCGACCGCTCGTCACTACTTCTCTATGGTTAGGCTAGATACTTACTGGGTACGTGTTCATTTACGTACTCATGCTACACCTGTTGTACTTTTTGTGCATGTATATATATGTATATTTTTAGTGGTCTTTTGGGCTCAGAGACGCGGCTATTGTAAGAACTTTATGGTGAGTTGCATTCCATGTAATGATCCGCAGCATACAGAGTCTCCATCAGGGTTATTTACATTCTTCTGTCTAACTTATATTTAAGACAGATGTTGTATTTTATTATATTTTTCAGTAGATGCTCATGCACTTGTGACACCAGATTTTGGGGGTTCCTACTAGATGTTCATTATTGTAGTTTACGTAATTATTACCATTTTATCTTGTAATTTATACTTTATACGGAAATTTATAAAGAGAATTCACGGGCTCCTACGAGTACCCGATGTTTATTTTATATATTAATTGGGATTTATGATTTCAGAATTTTTAAAATGAGTAATTAAGTCAATAATTCACTGTTGGCTTGCCTGACGGCGACGTTGGGCGCCATCACTGCCTTTAGGGGATTTTGGGTCGTGGTAGTTTGGAATCAGAGCTCTAGGTTCACGTGGATCTCATGAGTTATGAGCAAGTCTAGTAGAGTCTTGTAGATCAGTACGGAGACGTATGTACTTATCTTCGAGAGGCAAGGTGGTTGTGAGGAGCACTTCCCTTCTTGATTCCTTGTCGTACGATTTGATTCCATCGAGGCTTATGCCTTCATTTCCTTCCCACTCACTCTTACACGATGTTGAGTTATCAATGGGGCATCGAAAAGTTGCAGTGGTACTACAGATATAGTGCATGATGTATCTCTCTGTGTATTCGAACGAGCTATTGTCGTCGAACTGTTGAAGGGTGTTGTGTCGTTTCAGGCTTTCAGCAATGTATTAGTATTGTATATGGTTTTGAGGCTATGTACGGATTGCTATGATGTTCATGAGTGGTTATCGCGCAGTGTTGGCATGATGGCAGGGTGCTTGTTTATGTGTCGAGGCAGTGAATGACTTAAAAGAAGGATTTTTCAGTGTATGGTTTAGAGGTTCGGCACTTAATAGCAACAGAGAAGAGGCAATCAGACTATGAATGTTCAAGCTTTGGTTGATGGAGTAACGGGACTTGATATTTTCGAGCGTGGTGGAGTTCTCGATTGTGATGTGGTGTCGTCGTCCTTGTTGAACGCATTAAGGCTCGTCGGTATTATGGTCTTCTTGAATTGCCTTCTGGGTAGGGTGTGGTGAAATAGTGTCTAAGAAGCGGTTGTCAGAGATAGCGGTGTGTAGCGGTTTCAGAATCGAATCGGTATTTCGAATGTTGATGGCTCGAGAAAGATTACCTTCGAAGAGGCTTAGAGTTGGAAGCAATTTATTAGTTCAGGTTCTACATAGATGGATTTTGATTTGATGTAACATTTGGGTAACGAAGGATAATGAAGGACATGGCAGAAGGTGTCTCGCGGTGTTTGAATTGCTAGCAGGTCAAGTATGAAAAGCAGAGGTCGAGAAGTTTCTTAAAGGTGATGGTTTAACCGAAGTGGGAGTGATAGAGTAGCATATGGATTCTGTGGTTGGGTAGCCATATGCCTTGAGAAAAGTTTAGAGCGGTTTGGGAATCATGGTGGACAATGATTAAGTCTATAAAATTCATTTGGGATAGTGGCTACTGTACCGAGGAAGGTTTAATATGACTAGAAGCAGTGTGCTTGAAATGAAGAGGGGTGTGAAAACTTGATTATCGTTTTTGGATGCAACATGACTTCGATTTTGGAATACATTGTCGGACTTTCAGCGGATGTCAATGGGGAATGAACAGACTTGTACAGCTTGTGGACGAGCATGGGCTTAGGAGGGTTTACTGATTTCGTGGTAGTTGTACCCAGTACAGTGTCGTTGGAAAAAATCGGTAAGAAATTCCACAGGTGGGTTATCTCTTATGAGCAGGTTAGCAGTTGCGTGATTTTGATGAAGTTTCTACAAAGAGTTCTACTTACTACCCGATAGAAGGTCGAATATGCGATTGTGGTTGATAATTTGGAATGTTTATGAAAAGTTTAACAAGAGACCACGAGAAATTTGGCAGGTTGATGGTGCGAGATCATGGTAATTGAGAAGGAGGAATCTTTGTGGGTTCTACATTTATATGATGGTAGCTTAAAGCTATGTGGGGGAGCCCACCGTCTACGATTGGTTTGCTTGGTTGTCTGCTTGTGCGGTTTTTGGTTATCGGTGCATTGGTGGATTATTTATGACTAAGAAAAGAAACAATCTGGGGTAATTCAAGCAAAGAACTTGATGAATGTGCATTATATTTCGCCTTATCGATTCATGTGTAAGTTTTAGAAAGACTCAGAGTTTATGCTTCTTGTGGATGTGTTCTACAAGGAAAGGATTTCATCCGGTTGCTTCTCTAGAAGTGCTCATGTGCTAACAGAGCAATTGAGTTTGATTATTTGGACAAACCACGAAATTCTTCATGATGTACAAACCCATTTCCTTAATTTGTTGTTTGAACCTTTGGATAAAAAGACCTGCCAATACTTGCGTGAATGCGGTCATCCTAAAAAATAGTCAATTAGTTAAAATGACTAAGTTATTATGTATATGATTTGTAATATACTGACGCATACGTAAACTATGCAAAATAAAAAGTAATCGTAAATTTTAAAACAATACCTTTTCATCTATCAGAATAATCTCAATTGAAAAAGGGGTATTAGGTCTTTTGCGATCCGGATTTTTCCAAAGCCTGATAATACGAACCTTTAATTTCCAATTCATTGACTTACTGTTAATTTCGCTAACGAAATTTATTTCAGCCGCCATTAAGTCCTGAAAACAGATAGAGGGATTTATAAGTATATGTAGGAACTCCAACAAAATGCTTATAAAAACACATATGAGGCAAGAGATCATCTGAAATAATTGACTTTTTGGTGATGATTCTCCAAAAAGTCATCAGCAAGAATCGGTGGTATAACCCCAAGATTGGTAAACAACAGTTGCCATAGATACCAGATCTTTTTTATATAATATACGCCGTCAACAAACTTCACAGAAATTATTTGTTACAGAAATACAATCTCAACTAGAATAAAGATTGTTCATGAATACAAATAATACCAATCACCTCTTGTAGTCCAGAATTGTTGTTTGATATGCGGGAAAAAGAATAAAATTATATATTGTAAAAGTAGTAAACTGATTTGACAAAAATATGAAATCATGTTACTGGGAATCTAGGGCAGAAGAATTCGTGGGTGAGGAGTTGAATTAGTGGGATTGAAGTCGAATTTGTATGATTTGCTACTTTTAGGGCAAATAGGCGAAGGAATGGCGTGAGACTAAAGCGTTGAATTCCCAATTCCTCTTTCTTATAAAAAATACTATTTTTTAAAAACAGTAAAAACTACTGGTTCTTTAAAAAAAATATATACCTATTTAATTAGTTTTAAATTCAAAATTTAAAAAGAGAAACTAATTTTACCTAAACTAACACTAATGGCATGGGATTGAAGTGCCAAATTCCCAATTTCTCTTTCTTATAAAAAATATAGTATTTTAAAAACAGTAGAAACTATCGGTTCTTTAAAAAATATATATATACTTATTTAATTGTTTTCAAATTCAAAATTTTAAAAAAGAAACTAATTTTAACTAAACTAACTAATTTGTCCCAAAGTTGCTACATGACATTTTATGCACACAACACTTACAAAATTTCAGTGCTCACTTTCTTCCTTTTAAGTAAATATAGATATCTTTTAAATTAATTACTCAAAATTAAACTGTTACTCTTCAAAATTATTTTTTGAGAAACACTTTTGCCGAAAGTATTTTTTTTAAATAGACAGAAAGTACTCATTTTTTTAGAAGTCCCTTCCCCCTCCCCAATTCCTTATTATTACTACGGCCATAAGAAGGACAGTTCAATGCACAAAGTATGTCATATTCACGTAAGGTTCAGGGAAGAGTTGCATTGTAAATCGTCTACCATAATACAAGCATTACTGATTGTTTTCGTAATACAACATTGCTAGTATAATTTAAGGTCAAATGCAAAAAGTACATATGCTTCTTCCCTGTTTCCCTCATATTTTGGGAGGGGTCTAAACAACAAAATCACATAAATCAATATGATTTGATGATAGAAGGCTAGAAGCTTCGTGTATAAATCTCCTCTATACGTTAAATTTCATTGGCTTTTACTTCCTTTGTTGTTTCGTTTTTTGGCTCTTTTTTAAACTCAGGTATTAAAAGAAAATAAGGGACATAAACTAAAGGAAATGGCAAGAACATCTCTGCCACTAACTTTACAATCAATTTTATACATTATAATATATATATCGTGGAAACCACTTGTCTATCTCTTCTATCAATTTATTACTATTATTAAAACCCCACCTACTCAAATAAATCCCCAGATCCATAAAATAGCTGACACCCATAATTACTCAGATAATTCAACTCCATTTTATAACCCAAAAACCCCTTCAGGATTCAAAACCCAAAAGTTTCCTCTTTTAGAAAGAAAGGAAAACATGAGAAATCTTTCATTTAGTGATGAAGATAATCAAAGTGAGTTACCAAAAACAGCAATTTGGTGGTGGAGAACACCTCAAGATTTTGATGAAAATGGTCATCTTAAAGTTGACATTTCTAATCTTTCAAACCTTACACCTAGGCTTAAACTTCTTAGAGAAATGGAGAGATTGGCTTTGATTTCAAGTGAGGGAATTGAAGATCTCAGACACAAGCTTATTACTTACAGGTTAGTAGGTTGTTTGCACAATATAATATTGATTTGAAGTTGGAAAATTAGTATTTAAAGTTAAAGTTGAAATTCTTTTGGTTGAAAGTTGTAAGTTGTGTTTGAAAAACTTTAAGTGGACGTTTGGATATAAGAATTGTGAAAGTACGGAAAAAAGAAAAAAATTAAGTGAAAATGATATTTAAAAATTAAAATTTTATTTGAACATGAATACAGAGCTGTTTTTGAAATTTTTGTGAGTTATTTGAAATGAAAATTTTAAAAAACAAACTTTTTGCAGTTTTTCAAATTTAGAAAAATTTCAAATTTTCAACCTCAGGTGAAAATATCACCAAACACTGGTACGAGAGTTTGATCATCGAAATTCGATATTTGCATATATTGACTTACTATTTCAAATAGTGGCAACACCATATTTTATCTAAAGGGGTTTAACTATAATCTTTATCGAATCTCTTTGATAAAAATTCTGGCTCGGGTATTAATATATAGTGAAATATTATTTACAGGTGTGGGGATTTTTGGTTACCAGTAGGAGGAATAAAGAAAGAAGATATGGATATACCGCCAGTGATCACACTTCTACTAGTGGGGCTATCTGCTTCTGGGAAAAGCTCTCTTGTTAATTATATGTATAGTGTTCTTGGTCGATCTGGCCTCATTCCTTTTGCTCAAACTTCAAGTATGTTTTCTCTATCACTCTTCTTTTTTTCTTTAGTCAATTTTTCACTCTTCTCTATTGCCACACATTTCATTGCCCGTCCACCATAAAATATTTCCGTTTAAAAAAGAATAAACCTTTTACCGACAAGTCGAATAAAGTTCTCTTTGAGTATTTTGAAATTGTTAGCTATTGTCATTTATAGTACTTTTTATATATTTTGTAAATATGAAATTTTGTTTCAATTTTTTTTTTATAAAAATTTAGTCAATTTAACTATTTTACTTCGATAAGGTTCAAACATATATTAAAACAGATGGAATATTATTTTTTTGTCTTCCCAAATATTTTCAACAATGACATCTTAGTAGGCGTTTGGACATAAAAATTGTGAAATAGTAAAAAATAAAAAAAATAAACAAACAAATTCAAGTGAAAATAGTATTTGAAAATTAGAGTTGTGTTTGGACATGAATACAATTTGGAGCTGTTTTTGAATTTTTGTGATTCTATTTGAAGTGAAAATTTTAAAATTAGCCTTTTGGAGTTTTACAAATTTTCGAAAAATTCAAAAAATTAACTTCAAGTGAAATTTGAAATTTTATGGCCAAACGCTGATTCCGAAAAGAGTAATTTTTTTTTTTTTTTGAAAAAAGTAAATAAAATTTATCGCCAAACGACCCCGTTAGTTCCCTTTATTTATACAAAAATTCACATGTGTGCTAGGGCTCTAAGGGTTACCAACATGCCAAAGTGGCTATAAAATGTTTAAGTCAAACAAAATTTTAATTTCTTTACTCTATCCACATTTAAACACAAGTGTGAAAATGGCCCATTTATTCGCTGTCACGGAGAGGTGATGAATTGGACAACGGCTTCTAATAAATTCCACATGCAAGATGTGAGATGCGTTTAAATAATATCCATTTAAAAGAATTTTTCCAAAAAATATTTTGACAGAATTTGAGACTCTATTCTTGCTAACAAAAACAGAAGTTGGGTCGATGCAATTATCCAAATTTAATGGAGTTGTTGTGAGACATTGTTTCCCCTTTTACCTCACAAATGTACATATCTTTGTTAATGCTGTGAAAAAAATACTAGCAAAGTCCCATCCTTTTAATTCTAATGGATTTAAATAAGATATCGTAGAATTTCATTGTCCGTATTTTTTTTACTTGTTTTTACATATAGCCTGTCTTATTTTTGTTACAAGTAAATATCTTTAACATAATCTTATATACTTTTACATTATCAGTATATAAAAATTAAACTCTTTCCGTTATCTGTATGTGTGTGCGTCTTCCAAAAATTTACGAAAAAAATAATAATGCTAATTTCGAACATAAAGGTAGTTCGCATATATTGGACATAACTAAAATCCCAGATCCGTCTTCATTTATTGACACTATGGTAACTCTTGTTATAGGTGGGAATTCACACTATACAACCATGTTCTTGGAAGAACACAATGTTTTGAGATCAATGAGAAGTGGATTTTGTGTGTATGATACAAGGGGCTTGGATTCTAATGATATGAACGAGGGTTTAGAGGAGGTTTCGACATGGATGACTCGTGGAGTTCGCCATAATCAACCTTGTCTTAGACATGGTGATTATAAGCTTATTAATGGTGGCGGAACAGATGCTAGTTCTTTACGATCAAATACAAGGTACACTAAGAGAAAAATTGATTGTGTAGTAGTTGTGGCTGACTTATCGGAGATTAACAAGGCTTTCAATTCTGGAGATTTGAAGCCTGTGGAGACCTTGAAGAATCTCTTCAACAACCCTTGTATAAGGAAATCAAGTAAGCTCTTTAACTTAATTCAACTAAGTAATAATTGTTTACTGTAATTACTAAAGGATTCTTAAAGGACAACTAGAATAAACATTAAGTGTCAGAAACCTTACCTCTACCTTGCGAACGTAGAGCGACTGTTTCCGATAGACCCCACTTTACTTTGTGGGATTACATTGAGTTTATTATTGTTGTTGTCAGAAAACACATTTGTTTATTATGTGTCGCTTGTTCTTTTTACACGTGTAGTAGGTCAATGGAGGTTGGTTGAAGATGATATTACATTTTGGTTGGATATGAATCTGCTCTATTGTTATTTAATCTCTTTCTTTTTTCAGCAGATGAGAATCCGTCGTTAATACTAACACATGGTGGCACGATTTAAATGTTAAAAGGATAGGAAGGGTAGAAAAATGATTGTTTACAGTAATTACCGGAGGATTCTTAAAGGACAACTAAAATAATATTACGTGCGAGAAATCAATATTTGTTTATTTTGTTTCTAATGATATTTTACATTCACTTGATTTGCTACACATGTAGTGCGTCGATGGGGGTTGGTTGAAAATGATGTTATGTCTATTTACCTTACTAGTTGAATCTGAATCTGCTCTATAGTTATCTAATCTCTTTCCTTTTTAACAGACGAGAATCCGTTATTAATACTAACACATGGTGACATGATTAGCGCGGAGGAAAGGATTACCAGCAGGCTGAAAATATGCGAATATTTAGGGATACCGGAGACGACAGGCGCCTATGATATAGCTTGCCTGACAGAGCAGGGGATATTGCCAGAAGAATCAGATCCAGTAGCAGCATTTGCCCTAACTGAAGCAGTGTATAGATCTCTAATGCAATCTGATAGAAACCATCTCCCTAAGAAGAATTGGAAGGATTGGATTGTGCTTTTTGTGGCATGGATCATGTGTTGCATTGGTTCCTTCTTTGCAATGCTTGCACATTTCTTCTCAAGATTTAGCCATCACAATAACAAACTTAAGTATTAAAAGTACTTTCTCTATTAGGTCCAGTGGCGGAGCTACATGTAATAAAGGGGGTTTAATGGGATTTTATTTATTCTAAAGTTATACCGTGATAGGTTTGGTTCAAAATTGTTTTACGTCTCCGGTTCAAATTTTAAGAATGATATTCTTACATTTTTTTTAGTTCTATGTTGAACTTTCTTGCTCCGCCACGGATTAAGTCTGCTTGTGAAGGTCTCTAGACTCTATTGCCTTTTTTTTTTTTTTTTTTTTTTT